GGACTTGGTCTGCTGTTCTGGTCTTACTCCCTCGAATCTTTCTGCTACTGAAATCCCCATAACTGACCACTTCCTCCTTTCATCTAACCTCACTCTCTGCTGCTCTTCTACCAAGCCAACCCGTCTCATCTCGTTCCGCAACATCAAGAACATTGATATGGACATTCTCATTACCAGTTTGGACAATGTTCAGATTCCGGACTTCTATTCTACTCCTGATGATTTGTTGTTATATTATAATAATTGTCTACACACTGTCCTTGATTCTCTGGCTCCTGTAAACCCCACTCTGCTTCCTTCGCTCGCTCTGCTCCCTGGTTTACCTCTGACCTCCGAGCTCTGAAGGCCAAAGCTCGGCAGCTAGAGCGTAAATATAAGAAATCTGGTTTAACTGTTGATTCAGAAATCTATAAATATCACGTACTTCAGTATAAAGACTCCATCAGCAAGGCCAAACAAAGCTTCTACTCTGGTATTATCAGTTCTTATGAGGGTAATGCAAGGACTCTGTTTTCAGTTCTCAACAAACTAATTCAACCCCCCAACGCTTTACCACCGCACTTCTATTCCTCTGAAACCTGCAACTCCTTGATGCTGTTCTGGACTACGAAAATCAATAACATCCACCAGCAACTCAGTTCAAATGTTGTGTCTGCGCCCTCTCCAGAACCCTTTCTCCTTTTTGAGCCATTTTCCACTTTTCATCTTCCAGATTTATCTGATATTTCCGAGTTCATATGTAAATCAAAGCCTGCCACATGTCATCTTGACCCCATGCCCATGGAGCTTGTGAAATCCTGCCTCTCTTCTTTACTCCCACTCATCTCTGCTATCATTCACTCTTCTCTCACCACCGATATCGTTCCCTCCTTATTCAAGACTGCTCCAGTCACTCCTATACTGAAAAAACCTTCTTTAGATCCTAACAACTTTAACAACCTCCGTCCGATTTCCAATCTACCCTTCATTTCTAAGATACTCGAAAAAGTGGTTGCAGGTCAACTTCATTTACACCTGGTTAATAATAACATCTACGAGAGATTTCAATCTGGTTTTCGCTCATGTCACAGTACAGAAACGGCTTTACTTAAAGTCACTAACGATCTTCTAATCGGAGCTGACTCTGGTCTTCTCACCATTCTCGTCCTTTTAGATCTGAGCTCAGCCTTCGACACCAT